GTTAAAGCGGAGTCCAGGTGCACTCCCAAACTCCGAACCCCAGACGCAGGCACCAAAGGCACCCCATCAAAGGTCGGGAGAGGGAGCCCCAGTCCTGTCCCGGCCCGACTCAAGCCCAGGACCTCCGTCTTCGCTGGGTTTAGTTTCAATCGACTCAGCCGGAGCCAACCAGCCACAGCTTCAAGTGCCTGATGCAGGTCATCGGGACTCGAGTCCGACCGGCCACCCAACATCAGATAGAGCTGGGTGTCATCAGCATATTGATGACATCCCAGCCCATAACTCCGGATAATCTGGGCAAGGGGGCGCATATAAATGTTAAATAGCATCGGGGACAACACTGCCCCCTGCGGTATTATTTTTGTTTTGGCCGCCCAGCAAGCCTCCTGGATTGGGTCAGCTAAGGGCGGGACCTGTGCAAGCGGGCCTTACCAGCCCTCGGGAGACCCTTTTGGGGAGTGGGGAGGGATTTGCTGCCATTTCCCCCTCCCCCACATTTCGTTCTGGGCATCGGCAAGAAGCTCTGGAGAGCCATGTGTAGCAGCGGGGAGCCCTTCTCTACTGCTCTGGCCTCAATGGTCTCCAAGACTCCAGATTTCATGCAGGGAGCCTCGGGAGCGGGAGGGGTTTGCCACCCTGCACTGCATTCCAGATGCCTTTAGGGAGACCCGGGGAACTGTCTGCAACAGTGTCTTCCCTGCTGCTCTGGCCCTCTGTGGGTCTCCCTGGCCGTGGGGTCTCCAGCAGTGTTTCCTCTAAGCTGAGTTAGTGTGAGCTAACTCACAGTTTTTTAGCCTCCAGCTCACACATTTTTGTCTCAGCTCAGGAAGGATGGCTCCAGAGCACACTAATTTATGCAGTAGTCAAATTGCTCACTCACAACTTTAATGCCAGTAGCTCGCAAAGTAGAATTTTTGCTCACAAGACTGCACAGCTTAGAGGGAACATTGGTCTCCAGCCTTCAGGTTAGGAGCTTCCCTAGTCACTCTCCACAGGAGTGTCAGCCGCCGCCACAGAGAAGTGCTTTGGGCTCTCCTCCGTGCCTTGAGAAGCCTCCAGAGCAGATGAGCCTTGGAAGAATCCTCACAAGGCTCGGGCTGCTGCAGTTTCTTTGAGGGACGCCTAAGTCATGGAAGAGACATCCTTCCAGACTCTTTGGAGAGCGAACAGTTTAAAGTCTCCAAAGGTGGGAAATGGTGACGTGGGTGGGCCTGAGTGACTCCATGCCCCAGGAGGGCCCCTCCTCCAGCC